GTTATGTATAAATACTCTCAATTCTGTGTGTTTCTAGCAAAGTAACGTTACTACCTTTGTCTGCACTGCTGTCAATTTCGAGCTACAGTGGAAGGGAACATGTAGCAACAAGATTTATTGGGTTGAGTAAGTCTAATAATAACATTCCATGTACAAAATGACAGAAGAAGCCACTGTTTAGGAATCAGATTTCCTCATCTCCTTGACGTCTTTATCCCTAATATTAAGCCCTTAATTTGCATAGTTATCAGCACTTTTAATTCCTTGTACAAGGCACATTTGCCCTGAGAAATCTGCTCAGCTTTATCTTGCAATCTCAACACTTAGATCTGATTTCCACTACAGCATCATGCACCTGCTGACCTGTTGATTTGTAATCTTTTCTCTGGCAGAATTATATTCCCATTTGATCTTTTCAGCTATCCTGTGAACCCATCAAGGAAGAAGCCTTCCACTTTACAGCTTCTCAGTATATCCCTAAGGGTTTTCCTTTCATTTTTGTCCAATTAAAAAAAAAAAAACCCTAAATGATAAAATAGTAAAAATAGTCTTGAAATTCTTATAGAGCAAATGACAGAAATCGCCTAGCCTTTGACATGTGCAAAGCAATTGTGAAGTTAAGTTAATGAAATTATGATCTCTATTTGAGGAAATATAACATAGCTTTTCTTTTTATTACAAAATAGGCAAGCCATTTAATACAAGGGGAAATGTGGAAAAGATCAATAAAAACCAAGTAGAAATCTTTCCTTCTCAAAAATTTTGACATCTTAGTTTATGTTCTTCTAGTATCATTTATGTGCCTTGTATCTATGGGTGTTTGTGTCCAGCCCTGGGTTTTGCCTAGAAAACTATTAAAGCAAGAGGTGAAAAATTGGGTGAGGTATTTGAATGCTTTCATAGTAAGACAAGATCAGTAACTAGTTTGAGACTGTTTCTCTCTCCCTATTACACAGCTGCTGTGCAAATATATTGTTGCTAAAATATGGAAATCAGGAAACAGTATCTTCAAATTAGTTATTCATAATGGCACTGCTTTGACCATTCCAACATAATACAGAATGGACTAAAATCTAGAATGGGGCATTAATAGGTAGGATACACCTCATTCTAAACTCTACTTTGATGTTCTGAATTATCAGGAAAGGCGAACTTGGGAGGTTGCATTAGATTGTTTCTAACGCCAGGCTCTGATTCTTCAGTGATTGCCTTTATAGTCTTCTGCATTTCAAATTCCGTCCAGAGTAAACTGAGGAGAGTAATTTTCACTCTCAAACTGGAAGTATGATATGATATGGACCTACTGAGATAGCACAAAAATCCTTTGACCATCTTGTGAAAGGAAAGTGCAATATGAAATTTATTAATAAGTGGTAAACATAGACTTTGACAGAGACTGTTTACACTTACTAGAAAAATATTTTGGATATTATGAGACCTTCTAAAGCTTAGAGTAGTATTTGATAAGTAATGCTTAAAGTCTCATTCTTAAGAAAATTTTGTTAAAGAAGTCTGTATAGACAGTGGGATACAACATTCAAACGCAGGACAGGACCTCCCAAGACTGACTTTTTAAAAGTAGGCATTTTGTACTATATTCTCAAGGTCTCAAAGCAGGCCTGGTACACTGTAGGCACTCAGTAAGTATCTGCTGATTTTGGAATAAACCCATATCTGAGACAGCCCTTGACATGCATCCTGATAGCTGCTTTTTCTTGGTTCCTCAGTACTCTAGGGACTGCTGGCTTATCATAGATTTGTAAGAACTATATTGCATTTTGAAGAGAAATGATTGGGATGCAGACTGTAATGGGGGAAAACACAGGACGTGGAGTCAGATATGAGTTTAAATGGAGATTCTGTTCACTCATTAGCTCTGTGACCTTGGCCTGTTTTCTCAACCATCACTAAGACATA